CAGAATATAGACCTTCTCATACGAAAACATTTGATCTATGATTATATAGTTTTTCAGACATTCTGACCAAAAGGAACAAAAATTAACTCTTAGAGCATGTTTTGACCAAACTGCATGTGGAAGAGGTAAGTCTTGAGCTTCTTTGGTTCTACATATGAAAACATTATCAAAGCATATATGTTAGCGTCTTATCTTTGGTACTACCAGTTTTTATTCTTTATGATGTTTGGTATTCTACGGGTTTTTGTTAATACCTTCATTTATGATTTTTACAAGCCCAAGATACCGAGTAGTGATAAAATAGTAACAACATGAGTGGACAATATGAGAGTATAATAAGCTACATGTAGCTATAAGGTCATGGAATTCTAGACAACACAAAATTTCCACATTATCAATCAATATCATTAATAATAATAACTTAAAAGAATAAAAGACAAAACTGTAATACAACAATAATGACTTAGTAAGGGAAGTTCGTTTTGTGTTAGCGATTGCAGTTTTTCCACACACAAAAATTTCACACAATTTGTTTATTGCTGTTTTTTTATCTAGTGTTAGTTTCCGTCTATGATTTTCCATAGCTAATAAGTAATGAGTTATCTCATCACACTATCTTTCTTAGTCATTTCTTAAATTATGTTTTTATATTAGAATTTATAAAATACTAATTTACTCTTTCTGATATTTCAGATGGATTGATAGAGCGAGGAAATGCCAATAGATGATGACAATGAAGTAGAATTATTCCTATGGCCTTTAGTTTCATCTGGTTTCAACTGAAAAGTTAGCAGCAACAAAACTTGTTCTTGCTTTGTATTATTGAGATTTATTGACTAGTAATCTACTTAAAGTTAACTTATGTAACTACATCATTGTATGACTAAACAATGTTCTGAATTTAAGTTCTATAGCCAGTTATGACTAACTGTAGTGAAATTTATTGTTAACTATTCTTATAATCTTAAGTAGTGTTTTACGATACTATAAAAGTAGCAAAATGTGTAATTTAAGTGTTCGCATCTGATAATGCATTTAACGATTCGTAATGATTTGTTTAATCTGATTGAGGCAACAAATTAACATTATCGTATTGTTGTCTCTAAAAGCATAAATAACTAAGAAATAAAATGCATCTAACTATGTAGTGATAATATATGGTATTGCCTCTAATAACATTTTGAGGCAATATAATTACGTTTGCTTCTAATTATATTTTGAGACAATATAATTTGATTGCCTCCAATGACATTTTGGGGCAACATAATATGGTTGCCTCTAAAGGTATATGTTTTAGAGTCACACTTTTTGTTGCCTCAAAAAATAGGTTTAGAGGCAACCATCATTTAGGGACGGATTAATTAGAGGCGCCTTTGGGGCAACCAATAAATTGCCTCTAAAAGTAATTAGAGGCTACATCCCTACTTATAGAGGCAACTATGTCTTGCCTCTATAAATAATTTTTATTGTAGTGTTGTAACTACTTTCTTTTTTATACTTTGTCATTACTTTACTTTTCTTAATATATTTTCTTTTCTACTTTTTCATTTACCTTACACCTCTATACTACACCTACTATTTTCTTCTTAAAACCCACAAAAAATCTAAAGAGACTATTATTTAAAACCGGTGGAAGCATTAATATAGTGTTTTGTACTTGAGACCTCATATTCAATTTTGCACAGGACCTTCTACATGTCAGGGCTGGCCATGAGAAGTTTGACCCAGAATATTACAATGTAGTCAAAGAACTTATTATGCACAGTTGTGGGAGAGGGATTCTTGTTCCGGCAATTGATGAGTTAGATTTCACATTGTTGCAGAACAACTTAGAGGAGAAGACCTATTTCAGTTCAAATTCAGCATGTTCCTCAACCTCAGAGAATGAGCTCCTAGAGGAAATTCATTCACCCGAGTTTCTTAATGGTATAAAATGTTCTGGTGTGCAAAGTCACAAGTTGAAGTTAAAAATTGGTGTACAGGTGATGCTCATGAGGAAAATAGATAATTCAGCTGGCTTGTGTAATGGTACCTGACTTTTAATGACAAAATTTGGTGCATATATTATTGAGGCACAAATGATGTCGGGAGCTGATGCAAGTTAGAAGTTTCATATTCGCAATGATTACTCTAACCCCAACAGATGTGTGGCTCTCTTTTACATTTATGCGTAGGTGATTCTCTTTTATGGTTAGTTATGCGATGATGACGAACAAGAGTTGAGCACAATCGTTAAAAAATGTTGAGTGTTTTTCTACGACGTCCGATTTTACACATGGGCAGTTATATGTTGCAGTTTCAAGGGTGACAAGTACGTCTGGTTTCAAGTTCGTGATATGTGACAATGAAGGAAATCAGAAAAATAAAAAGTGTTTTCAATAGAGTAGTTTTCAATAATTTGTAAAGTGTGTGTTATTAAACTTATAATATTTATTACTACCTCTCTCTCATTGAAAGGTTCACATGACAAAACGACACGATTATTTAGAGAATAATTAAATAAGGTAATTCGAGTATATTTGGAAAAATAATTGTAATAGGTATATAATATGATGAGGTTAGTGTTGATAACTGTGATGTAATAAATGTATTATTTTTATTATTTAATGATTAATTTTTTTTTTATTGTTAATTATTTTCTAAAATGAAAATGAGAACCTACGTTCAAAAAAGCAAAGCCAAAACCTTTCTATGAGACAGAGAGCATTATTAATTCATTAATGGTTAGTCTCATTCCTGTCATAAATTATAATATACTCGTAATACTTAATTAGATTTAGAGATTCAAAATAAACTAGTTTTGTACCCGGGCATTGCCCCGGGTGCAAGTGTGCAACTCCTATATGGAATATTTAGTTAATAATTCTTTGCATATGTGAGATATATCTTTTGTATATATGAATTTTTTAAATCTCATTGACAAAAGCATTGAAATATGTATTAATTTGATATACGGAGTAATATTATACTTCATATAAAGTTGAGATTCATAAGATATTAGAATAACTAAATGGTATACAAAATTGAAAGGCTACGCTTCTAAATTCTGGCAAACCTCTCTATAGACAACATTTATGACATTGGAGGAAAGTCACTAATCTTTAGAACGAATCAAAATCTCCAATCCTTCTTTACTATTGATTCTATATGGCAAAATATAATTGACCATAAGTGAACACATTTTTCTCGAGATATAGTCTGACCTGAGATATATACTGACATTGGCTCTTGTTGATGCTCATCACAAAATTCTACCAGTGTTGTTGGTCTTGTCAACTCTTCCCACAAGTGAGATAAATGCAACATCATATTATACCACCTAACATTTTTAGAAATGTTTTAGAATCGACGTGTATTCCGTCGAATAGACCACGTACGACATCTCGAGGAATTCGTAGAAGTGGCCATTCAACTTTCTCTCGCACAGTACTCGTGCATACGCACGTGAAAAAACAGTTGATGCATATATATTTTTATTCACAATGTGATTAAATATAAAAATAGTTTTGTTTACAATTTTACATCATTTAAAAAATGGAGTACAATAAGTGAATATAAAAAACTATAAATACACACAATAAATATTCGAAGTGAAAGAAAACTAAAGTAAAAAGACAAATCGACACCATCTATTAGAATTTTTACATAATAATAATTATTATTGTTGGTAACGGATTATGAAATATTAAATTTAATTGTTAGAGTTTTGAAAAAGCATTTTAAAGAGAACTTTTAATGATAATGTCTAATAATTTATTTTCTTATCATATATTAAAACCATTAATTCATGTTTTCTAAACCCTCAATAATACCACATATATAAAGCTTTATAGGATTAAAATGCGTCTAGGTAAGAATATTTCATTTTTTCCCAATGATAGAGCTTGATAATTATTGATTGTCATAACATAGGTGACAATTATAGAAAAAAGTCTCCCCATAAGTTTAAAATGTTGTGAGAGAGAAAATATGAGAAGGGAATTCTTCCGATAAATTATTAATCTGCTTTTTTGGACGTCCCACTTAAAGGTTCACATTTTCTATTCTATGAAACAATTATTAATCTGCTTTTTTTTTTTATTGTTAATTATTTTCTAAAATGAAAATGAGAACCTACGTTCAAAAAAGCAAAGCCAAAACCTTTCTATGAGACAGAGAGCATTATTAATTCATTAATGGTTAGTCTCATTCCTGTCATAAATTATAATATACTCGTAATACTTAATTAGATTTAGAGATTCAAAATAAATGGCAACATCTATTTTTCTTGATCAATAGAGTTAGATTCAATTTACTTATTTGATATATCAAAATTCTTATTATATTTAAACTTGGAATTCTAGGAGAACTTTCAATATAGTTTCAAAATACGTAAATATACTTATAAAAATTAATTAAACTCTTTGCAAGAATAATTTAAATATATCAACATTTATTAAAAAATATTAAATTACAAATCAATTTGGGTAATTAAATTGCAAATTTAGCAGCATCAGCATTATAATTTTTTTGGGGTTAGGTCATCAATATTATTAATTAATAAGATTTTGACAAATATAGGACTTGTAACCTTGTATCAATAATTCCCAAAAAAGAGACTATCCGGGTGATGAATTCGTAACTTTGCGATGGAATTGTCCAATATGCCCTGCCTTATTAACTACCCCGTAGTTTAGTAAACTAAGTACTCGTAATTTGTGTGCTATCATTCTCCGTAACCGTTTCTTTGTATTTTTTTTTTTACTGTTTCCTTCTAAAATACTATAGGCAGGCCACAAAAATATTACTTTCATATCCTCCCCCAATTATTTTATTTGGTGTCGTTTAGTGTTATTGATCTGATCATTTATGTCGAAATAGTTACAATTTTCTGTCCTACCATTTACAATTACTCGCCCAACAAATTACAGTTACATGTCTGACCAGTTACACATATCCGCCTAACCAGTTATAGTTACCCGTCATTAGTTATAGTTATGTGATCGACCAGTTACAGTTACCCCACCACCAGTTACAATTATTCGTCCGATCAGTTACAGTTATCTAACTTGATCAATTATAGTTATCCGAGACCACAAGTTACACTTATCCGCCCAACCAGTTACGGTTACCTAACCCGATCAATTATAGTTATCTGACCCCACCAGTTACAATTACCCGATCCAACCATAACAATTACCCCATCTGACCAATTACATTTAGAATATTTTACAAGTTAAAGTTATCTAGTCTAATATATTACCATTACTCGGTCCAATCAATTACGATTAATAGCTTCTAAGGTGACCACCGCAGCCACACTGTCGGCCACAACTGCTGGCCACCAATGCCGGTGACCCACCACCGCACTTACTCCGGCGCCCAGCATCTCCGGCTTGCCTCTAACCCAAACCTCAGCCCCCAAATTCCCCGACATTGCCGCCCCACTGGCAGTTGCACTGACTTCCATACAGTGAGGGAAATGACCTGGTGCCCCGCCCCGGCCACCTGTTACCACAGTCGCCGTTGAACCATCCGCCGCCGCCTGCCACGTCCACTGTCGCCCAGCGCTATTGCACCCCGCAATTACCACATCCCAGTGGCATTGGAAATTTCGCAGAGCTGTCAGTTATATCGTACCACCGCCGTGACAAGGACATCGCCACCGCTCTGGCCACTAAAGCCCGGCCCCCTAGCAACCGCCCCCTGGTTCGCCCTTGTCCCACCAACATCCACCCGCCTCCTGCACCATCGACCCCCAGCAGTAACTATCAGCCACAGCCTCAGATCTGAAAAATGAATTCTGCCGCCGCCGCTATATTAACCCATCCACGAAGCAGGGGATTCAAAATCAGATAAGAAGATACAGGAGAAGAGAATTCAAATCGAAGAAGAAGAGCATAGAGCGAAGAAGCTTCGTCCCTCGTCATAGCTCACCCGTCGCACGAAGAAGATAACACAATTACACGAAGAAGACTGTGATGGTGGTGCTCGCTGTGAAGTTTCATTGCTGCGAGGGTCCCTGAATGCGTACAGACGGAAGCTCAAGCGTGCGAGGAATTGGACGGCAGTACAATTTTGAGGGCATTTTTGACACTTCAGTATATCTTAGTCTCTTTTTTGTCCGGTAAGAAAAGTGGTATTACTTTTGTCTAATGATAAGCTCCCGATTCTAGATTTGTCATTATTTCATTTTTTTAAAAGAGTCTATCGGATAGCCAATGTAATGTGGGAAGGAATTATTGGTTCCAGCTATTGCTTCGCATAACTTCTGCAACCTTCTTCCTGTTCCAACTCATCGGGATCTAGTGGTATATGCAACAATCCAAGTTGCATAGCTGGATCGTTAATGATTTGTTGAAGCCCGACACAGTTTTCCAAAATGAACATCACTGCTTCCAAATCATTGCAGCGGCCGTAATAGCCTAAATATTGGAAAACCTTAAAGTGTTGATGTGGAAATGGTGTCCCATTATTCACTTCTCTGCTAGCCCATGGCAATCCCCTGCCATTGTTAATCTGCACATGAAAAATTAACGAACAATGATTCTGCCTGTTTGTTTCTCCTATAAAATAGGACAACATGCAAGCAACAAAATTCTAGAATCATTTAAGTAAGACAAACCTACTCACAAAACCAGAACACTATGATTATAGAACAACATCAACATCCAAGCCTCAGTCCCAAAAGATTGTGGGGTCGGCTAACATGAAACTGATACATTATATCGGAACCAAGGGGAAAGAAAGAAAAAATAAGGTATGATAAGGGGGGAAACTTATACAAAAAGCCAAATGATAACGCACAAGTAGTCGGACCCACTCACCATTAACACAAACTCTTCTAGGTTGGGAGATATCCTAATGAATGTCATTAGCCCGAGAAGACTTTCATCACATCGTGCAAAAAAAAATCTACAACCAGCTTCTTCAACTCAAGCATCTCAGGGAAGTTAAACTGCACAATATCATGATCCTGCAAGAAAAATGGTAATCAACTTGAAGGAGCAAATGATATATACAATAACAACAACATCAGAGCCTTATTCCCAAAATATTTTCGGGATAAGGCAGCAACTGTGTTGTAGTAAATATTTGACGGTGTAATTCTACATTTATGAGAATTGATCGTAGAAGTTAATGGTACACTTATAGACTTAATGATAGTTGTTAGGACATTTTTATGTATTAATAAGACAAATGATGTAATTAAGGAAGAGATTGACTAGCTTGAAACCGTCATAACTCGTAACGGACGAAACGCTTGGGAGATCATTAGTTACTTCTCCTATAAATAGGAGTTATCCCATTCTAAATGACATACATTCTTACTCGAAAATACACTGAATTCTACTCTGGATTTCTAGCATAATTTGCATACGTTTTGGTTTACTTGTTGTTCCTGTACGTGTCCCGTTTAATACACATATTTCTGTTAATTAATTTTAGCTTACGTAAAGTAACTTAAACGAGCTTTAATGATAATGTGCCACCTTATACCCCGGCAGCTGCAACGTAACAATCTCCAATTGGGAAAAGCAGCAAGATAGTGTGGGGACTAACAATGGCATGTGAGCTTTCTGACAGGTAATCTCTAAATCGACCAGCATTGGAACATTCTCAAGCACGAGTCCTTCTGTTGTACGAACAGCAAGTGAAGTAAGGTTTGGTGCGGATACCAAACCAAAGCAATACCTTGCATACAGGCCAATGTAATCGGTTGTAGGGCTGCACTAGAATAACCCGAACCCGCCCGACCTAACCCTACTCGACCCTATTTAATCAGGTATTTGTTTATAAAAAATACTAATGTGTTGAATATGTTTGAACCCGCACCTAATGGGTAGGGTTGCAGAATTAAAATTTCAAATCCGATAGTAGCCGACCTGACCGAAAGTTCATTTTACTATTACTATGCTACAACGTTTTCGTGAATAATTTCAATTTAGACCAATGTACTTTATCAAGGACTTTATGATATTAGAATTGTGATTAAACATTTAACATTTGACTAGGTGATTATTATATATATATATATATATATATATATATGTTTCCTTCTAAATGAATTTCCTTTACAGAAGGATGTTTTAATACTGATAAGTCCGTATTTAGACACGCATTTGATGCATGTTGAAACTGGCTTTTGATAGTTTTCCTAGCTTTAAGGTGTTACAAGTCTCAATTTTAGCTCAAGTTATGTTTACCAGGCGTTGGTTCGAGTTTTGTGTCATTTGGAGTCAAAATCAGGATTTTAGAGTTCGGCACCGGCGCTTGAGGAAAAATCGGGACGAGTTGAGAAGCATTTGAGATTGATTTGAGAGATTTGGAGGTCATAGGGAGGTGTACGATGAATATTTGATGGCAAAAGAGCTCTAGGATTGGCTACAAGATAAAAAAGGATGAATGAAGCTTGAAAACGACGATCAGGATGACCTTCTGTCAATCATTCAAGCATATCTCTTTGTAGAATCATCCAAAGGACACGATTCAAGTTACATATGAAATTCAACTTCAAGGGATACAAATCATATGAAAACATAATTCTGAGAATATGTGAGGAAGAAGGTCAAAACAGACGATGCAGTCAGATGATCCTTGTTGCGATTTCGGAATAAGACCTTTCACCGTTTTGATCATATCACTTGATTGGATAATTCAAATCCAATTCCAAAAGTTGGGGTAGTTACGATGTACCAAGTCCCTGGAATGGGCAGGCACGCCGTGCTTGGCCCTTAGGCACACCGTGTCTGGACCCGAAACGCGAATTTGGCCTTGCTCCGTAGGCACGGTCGTGTCTGGCCCCTGGGCACGCCGTGCCTTACCCCGTTTTAGTCCCAGTTCAACTCAAACTCATCTGTTTTCTATAAATAAGGCCTCCATACCCCTTTTTTAGAGTTACGAACATTACAGAGAGGCGGAGGGACGGATTTAACACCGTTTTAACGCAGTTTTACTCCAAGACCCTAGGATTATTTGTAAGTTCACCTTTTTAATTAATGACAATTAATTCTTTTTATTCCAATTCTATTGATTCTTCAATTATGAATTGTGAGTAGTTTTAATTAGGGATTTGGGATTGATGAAGGGGTTGATCATGATGTATGGCTAGATTCCTTTCGGTTTAATTGCATGAATGTCGTTTAATTTGTGTATGAATAATTTAACTGATATCTCTTGTAACCTAGACTGCGGCTAGAATTACAATTGCATGTAGAATAAATTAAGAGAGATCTAATTTGTTTTAGGACACATTCACACACACTTAATCGTTCGCTAAGAGATTAGTAGCGATTAAGGGGCCGTAAGCTCGCTCGTCTTGGCAATAATTTAGGATCCTGTCGCATGAGAGATCAGCCTAGTCCCCTAAATTACTGTACTCCACGCCGCGAGAGCGGTAAGAACTTAGTAATGATTAGCTAGGCTCAATTAAATTAATTTCATGTAATTAGGCCTAATCTGCCAGAAATCTGGTTACCCCAGAATCAATCCCTGTTCCCTTCGTCATTAATTAGAAAGAACCCCCTAGCTTAATCATTTTATTCGCATTTTTATTTTCCAGCAACCAATCTCGCACGACGCATTTATTTTATTTCTTTTTAATCGCTGAATTTAATTAATTCTTGATTCCCTTTTGTCCGTCCCTGTGGAGACGATACTCGTACTTACACCACTATATTGCAATCTTTTTAAGTGCGAGAAAACTCTTATCAAATACTATTACCTAATGTTTTTTGTTTATAAAAGATACGAGTACTTGTATTTGTCTATGTGTTTTGGAAATAAGTTAATTGAGTTTCAAATTGGTTACATTGATTTTCCACATGGAAGATGCAACCAATAGTGACAATGCTCGGCCCTACCCAACCCATTTATGTAAGATTTACAAACTTATTTTGCGTACCACGGATTGGTTAAATGGTTAATAGCCAACCCGAACAAATTGGGTAGGCCCGAAAAATATAACAAATTCAATCCAACCCCCGATGTAGCCCTAGGCCCCTAGCCGGTTGAACGGGTATCACCGACGGTATATGCTAACTTGGACATTAATTTATTACTACGTATCTTCTTTCCTATCTTCTTAGGTTTTTCCGCTCAATTTCTTTATCTTCCCGTGTTCTCTGCTACGCCCAAACATTCTTTCTCTTCTATTTCTTTTATTTATATTTTTCTTCCATTCTTCCTCCTGGTCTTGTTTGTTTCGTTGGTCGGCCGAGTTGGAGGTTAATCGGGGAATTTGTAGCCGACGGACGGGAGGCGTCTTTAAGGATAGATATGGAAGACGGACGGAACGTGGTAGTGGTTGGGGTGTTTTGGAAGCAGGGACGGATCGATGACCGCCCCCCTTGAACTTTCAAAATTTTCTACTATATATCTAGTATTTTCATAAAATTTTCATACTTTTATTAGATACATATGTTTTCGCATCTCTTAACTTTTAATTTGCAAAATTAATATATAGCCTTACATCGTGTAAAACTTAATTTATATTTAAAAGAAGTAAAATAAAAACCCATTTACATAAAATAATTAAATAGTTTAAGACTTAGGATACATATTATATAAACTAAAATTCCTAGTTTTGTAATGTTTAACTATCTTTATTAGATGATTAGCACTCAATTTTGTAAAATATTAAACGATATTATATACGAGACACAGTAGTTAAACAGTCTTTAGATCATGTGAAGTAAATTCAAAATATAAATGTTTGTTGACATTGAATTATAGATTCATTTACTTCTTACTTTCTAAAAAAATTAATTGCATAAATTATTTTTTAAATATATTATGCACCATATATATGAATTAACAATATTGCGTATAATATTAATCTAATATTGTAATATTAAGAAACCTTCTCATGACCCTTGAACATCCTCCTTTATAGACAAAAATTACAATTCAAAAACTAATTCTTTATTTTGATAAGATTCATGTGGTTAAAGAAGGTAGAAGTTGTTTAAAAAGCATTGGTTGATGTGTACCTTTTAAACTTTTTAGCTTCCAATTGTAGTAATGATTAGTCATATTTATGTAAATAAGTTTTATTTTAGTAATATCTTGTAAAAATCCCAGAAAAAAATCAGCCCGGTAGACAAGCGAAAAAATTTCCACCCGTACAATAACGAAAAAAATTTGCCTCCCTTGACTTGAAATTCTGGATCTGTTCCTGTGTGGATGACAGGAGGCGGCAGACGACCGGCTATTGTTGAAGATGTGGGCGACGGGCGGCGAAGTTGTGGGCAGGGCCGTTTTTTAGGGGGTTCAATAGGTTATACAGAACAGGGCCCCCGAATTTATGGGGCCCCAAAATTTTAAAGTTCTTTTAGTACTCCGTATTATATAGTACGGAGTAATATTATATATTAATACTATAGTACAATTTACTATAGATGCATGATTTTTTTCATTGATCCTTTTACTATTTTAGTTCTTTTTATTGAGTATATAATTGATTTGAGTATAAGTATTTGGATTGATATTTTAAAAAAAATTATATTAATTTGGGGCCTTAAGTTTACATTTAGAACCGGGGCCTCCAAATTCATTAGACGGCCCTGACTTGTGGGGATGAGCGGCACATGACAGCAATTTGGGAAGATGTCCGAGACAGGTAACCGTCGCCGACTGTTGGTGAAGTTTGGTGCGATGGCCGGTGGCTTACGGAGGTTGGGGAATTTGTGGGAAATGGTCAGCCAGAGACAACAGTTTAAGAAGCAGTGGATTACGGAGTTGATATAATGATATTCTATTGTGGAAACCAAAATGAAGAAAAAGAAAATAAAGAGTAGAGATCGGGATGCAGTCTCATGCAGAAGCAAGAAACATAGGGAGGAAGAAGAATTGGTGCAGGAGAGAAGAAAGTAAGAGAAAGGGAAAAAAGGAAAAAAAAACAGAAAAAAAATAAGAACAGTAAAGACAAGACCAACTGGACACCACGTAGGAAGAAAAAGGCTGTTTTGATTGTTTTTTATCACTTCAAGGACTTAAGTGATTCATTTAATGGTAGGAGGATCAATTGACTTTTTTATAAAAGTACAAAAAACTATTTGATAGTTTTTCCCTGTTAATTTATCAAATGATAAAAGTAGAGTATGAGCTCGTTTGTTGACACAAAAATCAGCTGATTGGACTGATTATTCTGAAATTTATGAAATTCTGGTTGAAGTGACTATTCTGCTAAATTGATGAAAAAAATATTCATAAAATATACTTTATTAATAAAATAAAGAAATATATATATATATATATATATATATTTAAAAATAGATAAAATGGTCATATACAGTAACTTCAGCCTTAGTTTTTCTTATTACTCCGTATTACACAACTCAATGCAAGACAAAAATGTGCTCAGTGAAAAAATTGGTTGATAAGCCTAATAACTCAAAAAAAGTGTTACCAAACGGTCTCTATATGTCTCGGTGCATTTAACAAATAACTCACACACAATTTCTCGAATAGATTGTCAAAGATATCTCAAAAGAATATCTTTTGAATTATTTATCGATTAACTCCTGAAGAGATCTTTTTTTTTTGTCTTGAAATAACTTGAAGAGATCTCAATATATTTTTTAGAATATATCAGAAACTCTAAACTCTAATAACTTTATGGGAGTAATTTATTGTTGAATACACATCGCTTAAACTTTCAATTAAAAAAAATATATATTATTGTATGGTGACATTTGATTAAAGCATCACTAAAATCTCAAAATAACACAAATGACATATTCCTTCCATGCCATAAATAAAACAAATTGTCAAAAAAAATGCAAGCCCACATTTTCTCACATAGTGAAAAGTATAGATATGGTCTAAAATCATATACTACGGGGTATTAAAAATCAACGAACTTTTTTCTTTCAATTTTTTTGATCGAACTAATACATATGTAGCAATTGCAAGAAGCGAACCATTCTTAATTTGAGTAATTCTTTTATGGAGTAATTACAAGACCAAAAATGCAATTGAGTAAAGTTATAAGACTAAAATGGCTTTGTAAGAATCTAAATCTCAAATTTTCTTTGAAGATGGGGTAACATGGAACAAACATTGTATGCTATTTTTTTTTGTTATTTGTGATGCTAATCTTTAATAACTAACGATTGAAAGAATTTGAAATTGGATTAAAACAAAGCCTTAATGAATGTGAAAGTGAATTAATGTAACTTAGTGCCTCAAAAAAAATGTAACATAGTTAAAAATTGTTAAAATTTGGAGTACTCATAGGTTGTTCATATTTGGACACCTAGCCAAGTACTTTGTGGTCTCATGACATCACTGCTGATCTCCTAAAGTGGAGGTTGCATGTTGTAGTCTCATTCCAATCAAGGATGTTGACATTAACATGTGCAGGTACTATAATAGATTTAGAAGAATGTTTCCGAAAAAAATTGGACACCTACGTGTTTATTTTAAAGAGCATGATTTTTTTAATTGTATTTTTCATTAGTACAATGACAAAGAATCATGTTGACTTACATACTTAATATGGTTCCAAGTTATTCTTAACTTAAAAAACACTCATCGATTACGTAGCATCATTAACACGCAAAAGTTATACACCCTATAATCCTATATTCTATAGAATATGAAGTCTTCGTAAAAAAACATTAATTACTCGCCAGGAAACTTCAATATATATAGTGAACCCAAGGATTTTTTAAAGATAAAACACTCTGATCGATCCTTCCATATATAAAACTAAATCCCTCATACAAACACCAATACACATATACGATATCATAATATGGGCTCGAGCCAAAGCACAAAAAACATTAGATTCAAATCATCCAATAAAGAAAAAAAACTTATGAGCTCCTCCTCATCAAGCCCCACCACATCCTCATCGTCTGGGTGGCAGCGGAACGATCATCGTCATTATCATCATCGTTATCATCATCAGCCAAGCAATCACGTCACGACCATTGCCGACAGTAATGTAACTGGTCATGGCCATAGTGTACAGGCGGCTGATGATGATATTGATACCAAAGCTGAAGAGTACATCAAGCGCATTCGAAAGAAGTTTGAATCACAATGTCAGATGGAGGAGGTTGATGCGTTAAATTTGAATGGTGGCGTTCAAGGTGTAGAAGAGGATAAAAAACCTACGGCAGGTTACATCTCATCTGCTTGATCATAACACACTTTTTAGGCCAGCATTCAGATCCACACGCTGAATGTGATAAAAGACATCCAAAGCAAAGAGAGGCCGCCCTCTTTGATCACTCCCAATTTGTAAATATACTTACGGCTATTACCCTCAAATAGGAGTAAAAATTACTCTTACATGTAACAATTGGACTATAATCTTTTTATTCCCAAAATAGGAGTTCCCTCTTGTTACTCTATCCCCTTTCTACAATCCCTGGTATGACTTATTTTATCATCCCCATAGTTTTATTTGTAATAAAAAATAAAAATATTTATAAATTTATAACAAAAATGTAAAAAAAAAAATTGAATAGCCCGTTGCCACAACATCTTCCACCCCTAGTACCACCACCTCCGATCACCAGAAAAAATGTTATCTCTTGTAAAAATGTCACATTTATCTTAAAATTCTTACAATGACATGAATGCAACGTTTTTACTTTGGAATTACCAAATTTTTCTTTCAAAATTGTCATAAAGATTACATTATTTGCAGGTTGGCATTTTTTCTTGGCGACCGGAGGTGACAGTGCTAGAAGGTCGCTAAGGTGGTGGTTGAGGCCAGCATGTAATTTTATTTTTTTATTTTTTATCTTTTTCATTTTTTTATTTAAACTTTATGCTCCTATAGTCATGTTGTTGCAATTTAGCTTTTATTTACTCCTATTTAGGCAGTTACTCCGTACACTTACTACATAGTAATATAAAGCTACCGCTTACCTACCCATAATGTCTATATGTAGATTATTAGATATGGGGCCAACCAGGGGCGTGGCTCACCTGGTAGGAAGAGAGTGGCACAAGGGAGAGGTCCCAGGTTCGACTCCAAGCAATGACTTGGGATGGAGCCCCACTCTCTTTCCATTAGAGTGAGATCAAAGCTCAATTTACATCCTCCAACTAGATGTCCGGTCAGTGCTGGGGGGCCCTCAGGGATGGGGTGTCAACCTTTTTTTAGATATGGGGTCAACCCCAATATAATGATAAATTATGAATAAATTTCACTCTTGATTCTAGGAGTATCACATCAATTCAACAAGTGGTTCTCGTATTTCACATTGATCACTTTGATATATGATTATTGTGTTTTTGTCCTATGTATGATCCTTTCTGTCAATAATGTTTCTGTGGTTAAAATAGCTGAAAAGGGACCACAAATGGTCAAGAAAAGAAACATCAGTTGAGTACCAAAAAAGACAGTGAAAGACGTGGACTAAATATGGAATTGATATAAAACACATAGGACCAAAAGGGGAACTAATTCTATAAATTATACATTGTGGTCCCTATGAAATTTGTCAATTTTCTTGTTTTAATTGTACGTCTAAAAACACATTGACATGTTGTCTAATCTTTTAAATAATTAATTTGGGGTTCTTACTTTATTATTTGTATAACATTCAGACTTAGTAAAGATATACGTACTCCATCCGTCCTATAAAATTTTTCATACTTACCATTTTGGGATCTCTCAAACAAATTATCTCGTTTTTCTTTTTAGAAAGTTTTGTGTGTCTTACATTCACAACTGGCTCCAAGGGGAGTTAGCTCAGGCAGCTGCCTAAGGCCTCACGTTTCTATGGGGCCTCATTTTTTAAAATGTATCTAGTAATTACGATGTATTTTTAATTCTTGATATTGTATGTTTGAGTTAGAAGAGTTGAATCGTTGTTCTACGCTTTTGCAACTCGTTAGTCGTATTACGTATTGCACCAAAATATTGCATAGCACTTTATTTTAGTACTGTAATTGTGAACCGCACCATAGTTTAATTTAGATTTGTAGTTTCTTTAATAAATTTGGCACCCACGTTTAAATTTGCCATGTCAGACAAATTGTACGTTGTTTAATTGGTAACAGGTCGTTTACAGGTTAAAAAGAGGAATTGCCCGTTTTTAATCATTTCGATGGCTTAATTGGAGGAAGTTTTGGTACAGGGGTAATTGATTTTTTTAATAGTAGGGGGCTTATTTGATAGTTTTCCCTAAATTTTTCCATTATTATTAATTTTGTTGCTCTCCAATCAAAGTGCTTTTAATTTTGTTTGTTTGTTTAACGTTTGTATTCAAATGTTTAGTTTGTAATATGTAAATATTTACTTAATTTGATCGAGCATACAACACTCATATATTTTTATTTGTGATTTTCTATTTCAGTGTTTGTAACAAATATGTAGCTCTTGTGATGACTGAATGACTGATACACAAAAAAATTATTGGAAAAATCACACTTTTAGTCCCTGAAATAGTTATCATATAAAAATTTCAGACCCGTATTCCTGAGATTGTAAATGTCACCCCTCAATTGTCCAAATCGATGTAAATGTGGTCCTTTGAGGGGTGAAATGTACTCCTCGTCCACATTGTACATTTCACCTCTCAAAGGACCGCATTTACAGCGATTTGGACAATTGAGAAGTGACATTTGCAAACTTGAAAATTCGAGTCTAACATTTGAATATGCTGATTATTTGAGGGACTAAAAGTGCATTTTAAAACTATTTGTGCATGTACAAAGATAGAGAAAATAAAAATTATCTCGAGATTTGATGATAATATTATTTGCCCGATCTATGAAGGGATATGTAAAAATAGATTTTGTCAGATTCGATACTTAAGTAGTTATGTGCTTTTCTGCCTAGGGCCTCTAGAATCCTCAAGCCGGCCCTGCTAACATTCAGTACCACTGTGATTGATCCTCCATCGTTGGCCGAACTCTGGCCTTCGCCATACTCACACTACTACATTTTCGGGTCTTTTGTAACAGCAGATTTTGTGACCTTTGGTCCAAGAAACTGTTACATTCAACCTATTGTAATAGTTTGTCGTCGTTACATTCGCTCGCGCTGCATTTGCTCTAATTTAATGACTCGTAACCAATTTTATGAGCAACTGTAACGTTCCTCACAACAATGCCATAAACGTTACAACAGATTGTGTACATATGTAACGGTTGTTAACATGCACAAGGGTAACGGTTTTGGAAATACACTGGCCCTGATTAATTATGTAATGTAACAGTTTATATATTTGCACACATGCAGCCCTGATCACTACTATTAGGAGAAGAACAAGTGACAATCATGGGTATGCATCATTCATCATTTGATTCCATTCTATCTTCATCTTCATGTGAATCCCTCACCTGTAAAACAAACATTTCAAATAAAGCACCCATGTTATATACTTATAATGAGTTCATTACTATACCTTATAAATAATTTCAGATTATTGTGATATAATAATAGGAATAAGCACAAGCTAACTTGATGGCATATTAGCATAGGCTAACCAAATAAAAAAATCAATAAAAAAGATGTCACTTTCAGTGAGGGAAGATACATGCCACAATCAACTACAACTAATTCGGGGGAACTTAATTACTTAATACTTACTCTGTATATAATAAGAAAGGTTTGATACTTCCTGAGATTTCGAACTCAAATTTACAGCAATTCGAATTCCTGATCTACTGAAGGGGCATTCAAGCTACGAACAAATTTCCTCCGTACTCTGTTATATCACTCTTTAAGAGAAATCCTCCACTACATGGATAAGTCAAGCTTACTTGGGATAAGTTAGATAAGTTACAGAGCACTACACACACTTAATTCATGGAAAAATTCACACTCCGTGTTTTCTGCAGCCATCCAAGGAATAAAGTGCAAGTTAAGCCTTCAAAGTCATAGATGTTCCTATGGTCACAGTAATCTTATACAAAACCGTTAAAACATTACTACTAATGTACATATATTGAGGATAATTATGGTTGCAACCAAGCAATAAAAAAAGTAACAAATGTTAACATAAATAAGACGACCAAGAAAGCAAGGTATAGTGATTATCTAGGATTAAATGAACACATATATATATATCAGCCAAGAAAGCATTCCACTATTTGGTGTTGCGGTCATGCACTGTACAAGAACACTTCCACTTGGTATTATACTTACTGCTTTAATCCTTTGACCTTTGGTAGACTATAATAATAGTTTACAAGAAAATATTACAAGAATACTTACTAGTAGACTGTAGTTATAGTTAGTGTCAAGTGTCATGTAATCAAATACATTTTACGAGTGTTGGTCCCGGTTATCAAGGTAACAGTCTAGAGGAGGGGGGTGAATAGACTGTTATGGTTTTTAACTTTTTCAAGCTAGGTATCAAGGTTAACAGAAAAGCCTGTTCTGTTGAGAACAGACTGGCAGCGGAGGTCTTCTGGTAGGAGTTCTGACGGGATAGCCTCACAGAGATGCAAAGGCACTAGGCCTTCTGTTAACTCATAAGAGGTGTTCTACTGAACACAGATACCACTTCTTTGGAGTTAAGCAGTTTAAAAGTAAAAGCGAATATTAAAAGCAGTAAGTAAATGACACCAGAGATTTTTATAGTGGTTCAAGGAATGTATGTAAGGAAGATTATATTATATACTTGTGTTCATGAATGTTTGTGTGTCTATATATGTATAGAGTTATTTTGGACATTTTAATGTTAAAAGGTGTTAAAAATCCTTTGAAGTAAACATGAGCTTACAACACTGCTTAATTTATGTGCAACTTATTAGCGCGGATCTTAATAAGCACCATTTAGTAACTCGTGAAGTAAACATGTCCTAAGTCTCTCATTAGTCTTATCCCTTGTGCTTTATGTGTTGCTTTGCTTCCGAGTTCCGACTTCTTCTTTCTTCCTCTCTGTCTGACTGTCTCGATCGATGGTACATATGTTTTGTTATCTTTTATCTTAATTTTTTAAATTTATGAAATAATTTAAATTATTGAAATAAGTAACCATTAACTATATATTATTATAAACTTTATTATAGCACCCTTATATGTGATAATTATTACGTAGTATGATATTATTGTTGAAAGTTGGTTATATGCAATATAATAAAGTTTTATACAAAACTTTTCTAATATAGTTGGTAATACGACAACAACAGTTCTATATTGAAATTTCAAAACTTGGTTATTCTTATTTTGAGAATTCTTCCAAAAAATTACCAAAACGCTCTAATGTACGAAGTACAACATCCGGTTGGTGGTGACTCGCCTATCATAACCAGCAAAGTATGTGCTCTATTTGATTTATACGTCACGGTTATGAAGGAGATGACACTTAGTCTTGTGAAATAATGGGAAAGGTTACCCAATAGGGTACCTGGAAGATATATTTATAATAAAAAGAGTTTCCAAAAATATAAAGTATTCCTAATTTAATATTAGGCAATTACAGTATTACACCCCCTCAAACTGTGCGGGAGATACAACGCGCAGGTTGTCTTTTAAAAAATGAAATTCCTGACTAGAGAGACTCTTAGTAAATATATTCGTCAGCTGAAGACTAGTAGGCATATATTTAACCACAAGATCACCATGAGCCACACGTTCACGAACAAAGTGATAATCAATCTGAATATGCTTACTTCGAGCATGCTGAACAGGATTTGATGTCAAGTATGTAGCAGAGATGTTGTCACAAAACAAACGTACCGGTGTCGTGACAGGAAAGCCAAGCTCAGACAGAATGGACCGAATATGGAGTGTGTCCTGCACCGTGTAGGCAATAGCACAATATTCTGCTTCTGTAGAAGATTTGGAGACAGTAAGTTGCTTCTTGGACTTCCAAGACACAAGATTGGCCCCCAGAAAAACAGCATAACCAGTGGTGGAGCGAGAAGTATCAGGACATCCGGCCCAATTTGCATCTGAGTATGCAATAATGCAAGTTGCCTTAGATGTAGGCTGAAGCCACAGACCATGATCAATGGTTCCCTGCAAATATCTAAAAATCCTCTTGACAGCAAAAAGGTGAGTGGTACGTGGGGCATGCATAAACTGAGAGACTAAATGCACTGCATAAGTAATATCAGGTCTTGTGAAAGTTAAATACTGTAATGCACCTACCAAAGTTAAATAATATATACAGCCGTAATCAACATATCCACCCAAAAATAACTAGGAAGAGATGTCTCAATAAGCATAATCCGAGTAAGTTCAAGTAGATGACGGTGTTTACGCTCAGCAAGTCCATTTTGTTGAGGAGTATGAGGGCATGATTTTTGAAAATAAATTCCATGAGAATTAAAAAAATGTTGCATTTTAGAATTAACAAATTCACCCCCTCCATCACTTTAATAAATTTTAATTCGAGAGTTAAAAAGATTTTCAACTAAAGATTTAAAAAATTTAAGAGTCAAAACCTCGTTTTTAGCACGTGAGGGATAAATCTACGTAAAATGAGAAAAATCGTCAATGAAACAGGCATAGTATTTAAATCCCAAATTAGAAAGAACAGGAGACTGCCACACATCAGAATGAATTAATTGCAAGGGAGAAGTAGAGGTGTGAATAGTATCGGAAAAAGGTAATCGTTGGGACTTGTCTAACCGGCAAGGAATACAATCATGAGAAAAGCTAAAAGTATTACATATGTGTTTTTGATTGCTTAAAATACATAAAATATTTTCACCACAATGACAATATACGATGCCACACAGGGCCAGTGGTGAGAACTGAAGATAAAGCTAGGCTAGATGGTGGACTCAGGCTGAGAGGATAGAGATGGCCGTTAGTTGTTGCTCGAAGAAGGACCGCCCCCGAAGTTTTGTCCTTAACAAAAAAGGAATTTTTGTCAAAAATAGCAACACAGTTTTTATCAGCACACAATTTTTGAATTGAAATTAAATTGAATTTAATATTAAGCACATGATAAACAGATTTGAATAGAAGCGGGCGGCCAGAGGAATTTAGAGAGATATCACCAACATGTTTTATAGGGAGTTGAGCACCATTAGCAACACTAACAATAGTTGGACCAGAATAAGTAGATTTATTTGTCAAAATACCTTCAGAGGAAGTCATATGAGCAGAGGCACCAGTGTCTGGATACCACAGAGCTTCATTAGATTGACTGGTGAGAAGTACGGGTGCAGACGGTGGAGAAAATCAGGAAGGACAGCTGATTGCAGAATGACCTGCAGAAAAACAGATTTGACACACAACGGGTGGGTGAATTGCCCCAAGAATTCCCTCAGCAGATGAAGAGCATGCAGACTTAACATTAGTATCACAAAATGATATAGCAGTAGCATTTAAAGTGGACAAAACAGAATTACTTATAGCACCTGCATTTAGAGCTCTATGTTGTTGCTGCGCTCCCGACTGGTGGTGAAGATGCCCAGGCTGCTGCCCCTGGCCGAAGGCCTGCTGCCCCGGACGGAATCCTTTCTGCCCTTGACCGAAGCCCTGCTACCCCGGCCCATAGTAAGGTTGCTGCTGACCGTAGTTGTTGGGCCCGTGTCTCCTGTCGCGGCCTCCACGCGGTACAACACCCCGTTTATGCGCGCCGAAGGCTTGGTAGGCCGGAGGAGCTGTTTGTTGACAGAGAAAAAGGACCCGCTGTTCAGCTTCTAACAAGCTCCGGTGAAGGATGTCTGGCGGAAAATTATCAGGAAAAAGGGAAATAGTGCCCATAGTGGATTCATATTCCGGTCCAAGCCCCATAAGAGTGGTCTGAAGAATTTCTTTGTTGGACACCGGAGAATTTATTGCGGCCAATTCACCAACTAAATATTTAATTTCCCCTAAATAATTTTTCATGGATTGATTTTCCTTCTTTCTCATATTGGTCAAGTTACGCTTAAGTTCCATAGAGCGGGCCAAACTAGTAGAACGAAAACAATTTTTCCAGTCTTTCCCAAATCTCAAAAGCATGTTTAAATTCATGTACATCAATTAATACATCACGGGTAAGAGTAGCAAAAATCCATCAACAAATTGTTTGATAAACCCGTAACCAGTGGTAATAATCAGTATTAATGATTTGGCGATTATTAAAATCAATCAGGTACATTGGAGGTACCGGAGTGAAACCATCCAAAAAACTAAACAAACCTTGAGAGACGAGGAAAGATTCAAACTGAGTGCGCCATGTGATGTAATCTTCCACCGCCTTGAGCTTGATCGTAATAATTTGAGTAACATTGGAGATCAGATAGATTGATTGAGCAATCGTCGCCATCGGGGACTGAAACAGGGAGTTGTCCGCCGGTCTAGACAGTCCAGGCGCACCGGAGAATGTAAAGCCGAAATATCGGGGGCTGGAGTGCGGTTGAGGCATTGGCGTGCTCATCGAGGTAGAGTAAAGCCCCGGTACATCGTGTATGACAGGTGATTGCCATGGTAACACCGGAGGAAGAGACTGGAACAAAGAATATGCTCCGGGAACCCCTGCAACGAAGGAAGAAGAGGCTAGTTGCACTACCGGACTGGACTGAATGGCGGTTACCTGCTGCGGCGCTGGCTGGCTTATGGCGGCGCTAGTGACACCTACGGCCGCGGCGGTTAAGACAGAGGAAACCGGCGCCGTAGTTGATGAAGCTGAAGCTATAGTGGAACCCGCCATGGAGGAGAAGGAATCGGCGGCATGCATATGCAAGGCGGCGGTAGATGAATTTTCAGCCGAGCTCATGTCGTGAGGGTTTAGAGGAGAGAGAGAAAAATTATGCTCTTGATATCATGTGAAATAATGGGAAAGGTACCCAATAGGGTACCTGACAGATATATTTATAATAAAAAGAGTTCCTAAAAATACAAAATATTCCTAATTTAATATTATGCTATTAAGTCCTACCAATTGTTAACTATGAGGTGATGGATGAAGTGTTAGTTGGTTTGTTACTCTCTTGATGATATATAAATCAATGACAAAGTGTTAATTATTACATATACTCGTAATTTACATGTTTAAAAGATGTTATCTTTCTTGCTATACGATTAAAAACCTTTTTTAATGATGGTGTGATGTCACACAAGTTATTACTACTACTACAAAATAACTTTGGGGCTATTCGGTCAATATGGAAATTGGAAAGTAATTGAATAGAGAGAAAGTGGAAACTAATAATCCAACCTTTTAGCGGTCTTCTTTCAATAATCTCACCTTTTTATTATTCATGAATAATCCAACCTTTGCACCTCATCTTTATTCACTGGTCCGGGATCTGTTAATGACCTACTATTCCAAGTTATTTTCTTATCTTAGCAAAATATAATCTTTGTGAAAGATGAGATTTATGATATAATGATATGCAAATATAAGAAAATAGCTTGGAATAGTAGATCATCAACCAGTCAGGGACTAATGAATGAAGATGAGGTGCAAAGGTTGGATTATTCATGAATAACCAAAAGGTGGGATTATTATAAGAAGACCGCTAAAAGATTAGATTATTAGTTTCCATTTACCCTTGAATATATTGGGTTTAGAGGAGATAATTAAAAAGCTTGATAATGCTAGATAGTAAAAAAGTTACGATGCGGAACAAACCCTAGGAGTGGTGGCAGCCGGCCCTGAGGATTCCACGATCTAGGCCGGTGTTTGAACCAGAGCGAGCTTGCGTGGGGGAAGGGGAATGCTGCCTCGTCGCTGCTTCACTCTCTACCTGGCCAAAGTTTGGTCGGGTGTTCGGTTCGTTTGTTCTCTTTGATTTCCAGTCCGTTGGCTTTTCGATTGGTGTAGTCCGGCAGCCTTGTTTGTTTTGTCGAGGTTTGTCTTGCGTTCCTGGTGAACGGGTTTGGTATTTTTCTTCTATTTGATTGCTTACACGAGAAGGATTATTCGTTTTGGCTTGAATCTATGAGCGGCGTTGTGGGTCTCTGTTTTTTGCACTATTGTGTGTTAAGAATTTACGTAGTATTTCTGCTCTCTGTCATCTTAGAGGCTTTGTGGAAATTGTAGTGCAGGGTTGCAAGAGAATTGTTATTCGGTCCTTAAAGAATTTAGTGGTTGTACTTTGTGTACAAGGGTGCTTGAAGGAGATTTTTGTGAGGGGTTCGGTGAAATGGCTATGGAGGAAGAAGAGGATAGGGGACTGTTTTTTTACAGCGATGTTGTTGGAGGAGACGAAGCGATGGCGGTGCCACGTTTCTTGCCGTTGGCGAGCGTGGTGACAGAGAAATCTATTCGTCCCTTTGCATTTCGGGCAACCATGGCAATGGTTTGAGACCGGTCAAAGGTGTATCGATCGATGAAATTGGCGACTCAAAATTTCTGTTACAGTTCTACCATGAAGGGGATATCAATCGGGTACTTCGAGATGAACCTTGGACCTTTGAACAAAATTTTGTGGTAATAAGGCGTTTAGGGCAGGTGGATAGACCACTTGAGGTGGCTTTGGATAGCGCTGATTTTTGGGTTCAGATACATAACCTACCTCTAGGCTTTATGACTGAAAAAGTTGCATGTGGTATCAGAAACACAATTGGTTCGTTCATTGCAGTTGATGAGCGCACGCTAGGAGGTGTTTGGAGATCCATCTTGCGAATTCGGGTGACCATGAATATCAAGAAAGCAATAGTTCGCCGATTACATATAAGGAAGGAGGGGGTAACTGGTTTTGGGCAGAGTTTAAATATGAGCGTCTTTCAAAGTTCTGCTTCATTTGTGGAATTTTGGGACATATTGATCGTCTTTGTCCATCCGATACTCACTCCGGATCTTGGATAAGAGAGAGGCCATATGGGGCTTGGATGCGTGCTTATATGAGGAGAAGAGGAGTGCATCGGGGCAACAAGCGGTTGAATCCTTAGTGGAAGTGGAACCAGCTCATGTAAGGAAGAGATTGAGAATGTTGTGGAAAATAACAATGCGGGTTTTGAGGAGACACACAGTTATATCAGGGAAGGATTGCTACCTAAAGGAGAAGGCGTAGCTGATTTCCAAGAGGAAGAACCCTGGAAGCGCAAAGTGATAATGCCGAAGATCACAAAGGATACCCAAGCTAGGATGGCGGCATATGAAGAAGTTTCAAAAAATGGGCAGGTAGCGGTGCCAGAGGGATGGCACTGCCTGTCATATTTAATGAAACCCTTGCAGATGAAAAGAGTTAGATGGTTAAGAATGAGGAAAAACTTGCGAGTAGTGAAGACGTGGTGGTTGACTCTGTCAAGCCAATGACGGGGGACCTCTGTGTCAGCGATGATGGGCCTTTGGCGGGGGCTGGACGAACCGCACTTTCCTTGTCAGTGGCTGGAAAAATTGGATCTCGTTATTCTTATTTTTGCTCTTTTTCCCAGAACTCTTTAGTTACTTTTATTATTCATTCTAGTAGCAGGTGCAGCATTGCTGTTAGTAGAGTCTATCATCTTGTGGGGTTAGCGAGTTGGGTCGCATTTCAGCGATCTTCCAGCTCTATGTCTCATCTCAGTGTAGTGTAGCCTTTAACGTGGCGGTTTTGTATCTGATTCTCGATTTTAATATGAATTAAGTTATCTATTTTTTTTAAAAAAAGCTTGATTCACATTATCTAATTTTTTTTTTCTTTTTTACTCCTGGGGGAGGGGGCCTGGGGGGTCTGGAGTAATTAGAACTGAAACTTACTCCATTGAGTTTTGAACCCTTATGTGCCTAGCGGGTTTCGAACTTAAAATCTTTCACTAGGCACGGTAACCTCACAACCAGCTGGGGTAGAATGTTTGGTTAATCTAATTTTACTTTGTACGTAGTATATGCACATATTCCCACAATTGATGCATTATGCTTTTATGTTTTCTTTTATTTTAAATCTCATCACTTTCCTTTTATGCATTAAGCAATACATAAATAGTACCTTATGCTTTTATGTATTCATAAATAGTACCTAATGCATTTTGATATTGTTGAAGTTTAGTCTCGTAGATCTGAATGCCCAACACGCGTTTTGGATATTAAGGGTGTAGGTTTGAGTTAAAACTTAAAAGGAGTATAAAATATATAACAGTGGATTCAAAATGTACTCAGAAGCTAAACTTGCATTGAGTAATTCTGCGATTACACTGAACTACCCGAACGGTACGTCGGAGTAGGATCTAATACAAGAATAAGGGAGATAATTCTATTGCTAAGCTCTGAGTATCAAAATGTTAATCATTTACAATGTATTCAATGCAGGTATTTATACTAAGAGAGGGGTAGGTGGGATGGTGACATGGCTGAACTTGGTTGGCTGTTGCTTTCTGTCGCCTTGCACCCATGTCTCCACTTGCTATCGCCATACTTTAGCATTAAATGCGGTTGCCAGTTTCTGTCGGGTAGTTCGTTCGGGGTGCGGGATGCCCTTGTGGGTGTTTCGATGCTAGTACTCTATTAAATCAGCCTGAATGATGTTCAGGTATCATCCGTTCGGGATGTCTTGGACCTCCCCGACTGTGTTGGGCTCACTGCTTCCTCTGGGCCTTTCTCATGCTTTGGGCCGGTGTGTTGGGCTTCGGCCCAATACCCCAACAGATACCTTAAATCTTAAATGCAACAAATTAGTACCATAATTATACGTAAATATTTCATTCGTTAATATTATTCAAATGTCCGGCTAAAAATCCTAAGTAGCAGTCTCGATTCCATATGTGCAGTGATAACATGGATAAAAGTAGTGTACAATGGACCGAACAAATGGAATTTGTAGCTTCACGTCGGATTTTTTAACTACAAATTTGTATAATATATACTAGTTTTCAAGCCCGTGCGATGCACGGGCAGTACATAATTTGTTGTAAATTTAATATTTTCGGAATCATATATAATTTAATGTGATGCAAAAGCAAAACAAACTTAGTCTAATATAAAGTCGTTTGATAATACTTAAATTGGTCGAATTGTCTGACTTTACTGTAAAGAATTAATTAACTAATTGGGCTAAATTGACGGAATCTCCCAAATTATGAAAAAGCAAAATACAATATACTATGTTTTTTTTAAAACAATATACTATGTATTACACACATAATTAATAAAATAAAATATAATTTATATGAAAAGTATTTAAAATGGACTTCTACATAAGCATCTCAACTAAACATAATTGTTATGAACCTGATTTTAAAGAATTCACACAAAAGTTTCTTAACTAATTTCACATCCTTTATATTACTTCATTAAGAATCTCAAAACACTATTTTTTAAAATATTTATCATTCAACATGGTATGAAATAAGTTTTGGTAAATTTTATTGGTGAGATCTTACATTTCACTCATTATTTCGTCACATTGAAAATGTAAAAAAATGAATTGTTTCTATAATTTACTCATTAATTTGTCACATTGAAAACATCTTAATAAGGATACTTTTAATTAGATTGATATTTTCAGTATTAATTTAGTCTGAAGTAATACAGTGTCAAAGATGTCTATTTTATGTATGTATGTATGTATAATATTAATAATAATAATAATAATAATAATAATAATAATAATAATTGTGATTATATTATTATTATTATTATTATTATGATTGATGTTTGATCCAATCTTGTCTAAGACTGAATTCGGTCCAATTAATAACATCCTAAATGTGTGAAGATTTCCTATTTTGGATTATGAATCTATTTCAAAAGTGAAGGAATATTTAAATTGTAGTTGTAAAAATAAAGAAACAACTAAACATATATACTTTTTTGGCTGGGCTAAACGTATTTACTTGTGAAAATATATACATTTATATGTATGATATGAATTTTCATCCTAATAAAGGTAAGCTACTTGATCAGAAGTTTTAAATGTTTTCATATATAAATGTCTAATAGTATATCTATTTCATTTTTAAGTTAAAAATTCTTGTGGTTATAATTTTTATCTCTTTCTCAACAACTAAGAAAGAATGGTATATATGAAGGTGCAACAAAATACAAAGTATTATCGCAATTGCAAATCTATGTCTTATAATTTAGTAATTATCGCATTGAGTTTAGAAAACATTCAAAAAAAATTGAGTTTAGAAAAATAAAATATTTTTATGAAATAATTTTGAAGAAAAAATTAATAGGAATTTGGATGATTTATCTGTTAGAATGTAATAAAAAGTATAAAAAAATAATTAAGTAATTGATATAAAACATAGTCTATGTGTACAGATGATTGTTTATTGTTGTGATTCCAATTGCTTAATTTAATAGCTATCCAAATTAACATGGAGTAAGTAATAGATTCTTAAAAAGTTACCAAATAAAGTGGATTCTATCATAGGTGAAACGTATTTCACATTTTAGTAAATACGTTGTGCGTCATATGTTTAATTACTTTCTTTCCATATCAATTTACAATAAAAATAGAATGTAATAAAAAAATAAAAGGTATAAAAAGTAATTAAATAATTGTTATATATGATGACATGGCATGATTATGTGGCACACTGTATGCTCTTGAAAAGATCCTCTTTTATATATATATATATATATATATATATATATATATATATATATATATATTGATTGTCTGTTGAAACATTTACATATAATTATGATACTAGTTTTTTTTCATTTAAAAATTAAGGTATCAATAAAAGTGCAACAATACCAATAATTAAGGTGTAGTACTCATTATGCAGATTCATTTATTTGATCATTATATCACTAAATTAAAACTATTATATATGATATATAGTTAATTAATCGAGTAGCTAACGTTGGTTGTGTTGATTATATTTTGGTCAAGTTTCTTGTTTGAAACGATATTTTGGTCAAGTTAGGAAGAACAAAGAGGTGTTTAAAACTTGAGAAAATTGTTCCAAAAAAAACTTGAGAAAATAAATTTTAGATATAGAGCTTTTAGATTTTATGATGAATTAGGTTGCAGTGGGGCCATATAAATACTCTCTGGTCTACTAGCTATGACGAAGATGGAAAAAGATTGACATATTAACGACAGGGATTTTCATTTTATCAAGGAAGATTCAATAGGGACTAAAAGAGTGAAAAAGAGTTTGCATATAGATTGAGAGTTGAGACTTAGGGGTTGCAAGGCATCTTATGTAACATAACCGCTGCACATTGTTTATTAATTACGAGTAAGTTATTTGGTTTATCAGGTGACGTCTCATGAATAAATTCCTTATTTCCGGCTTGGTGAAGATTTTCAATGTTTAAGGGAAACCCAGAAAAGAATGGTGATTATTCTACGAGAAAATTGAAGGACTACAACATACTCCGTAGCATTCTTCTGAAAATATGATCACGTATTTGGTTTTTCTTAAATAGGACTAATAAACATTACTTTTCTATTCATAATTTAATTAAATAATACTTCGCATAGTAATTATCACCTAGTTTCCTTTCATAACAAGGTCGCTCCGTTGGTGGCGTATCAATCTGGTGGCGGCTGGAACGAACTTCAGCGATGGTGAACTTCAATGGCGGCGGCCTAGCAGCAGATCATCAATTGCGTCATGTAGAAAATTTTCCGGTTGTGGCAGGCAATCTAGTTTGGCCTAGCAACACTGTCCCAATCGATATTTTTGTTCAATCACAAATAAAGAAACTTATTTACGCTATTTTATATTACTAAATCCTATTTTGAAAAGTGAACAAATTTTGATCCTATTTGAGACGTATAGTGTATTAATATCCCTTATTTTAGAGTGGGGTTTATGTTGCACGATGTGTAGTTTGTGTACCAATGCTCATACAATTTTTTTTCCCTAAAGGAAATTTTTTTTCAAGAAAAACATTTTTTTCAATAAATATAGTAAAAATTACAGTGCAAGAAGATAGGTGAAAGAAAAATGAGCACAAAAGAAAGGAAAAGGAAAAAAAAAACATAAAAGATAAAAACTAAACCCAAGGAAAATCTTTGGACTGTGATTTGGTCCTCATGCTGTGTCGTATTTTATTCTTCTGAGATTTCTTGTAGATCTTGAGTTGTGTGTTCAGATTTTCCGTTGACAGACAATTTTCTGAGGTGACCAACTTTGATTTACGACAAATCGATCTATTGAATGTGGAGTTCTTTATTCCTGAGGTGACCAATGCTCATACACAGTAATATGTTTGGGCGGAAGGCCGAAGCAAGTGAATGAGGAGATCTTTTCCCCATTTAGATTGAACCAATTCAATGGCTCATTTGCTAATTCTTCAAATTAAAGGCACAACAAAATAACGCGTTGAAATTTATGATATACGGAATTACGGAGTAGTGTTATTGAGCACGAATGCACGATACGATTATTATCCTGAAAACAAGTTTCATATGGGGGGACGGTGGGGATTTAAGAGGAAGAATTTTATAGCTATGAACGTATTTATGAAAAAAATAAAGTTGATTTATAAAAATGTTATTAGTGATCACAATAGTACATAACATCATTTTTTTTGAAAGCGTAGTACATAATATTTGTTCAATTTTTAAATTTAAGTGATTCTAACATAGTATAGCAGTAACTTTCAGTTATATTTTTGTATTTATATTCAAATATATATAATTGATCTTTTTTATCTAAATAAAAACTCATGGTATTTTTGCCTAAACATAAACGCATAACAT